CCGGCCTATTGATCATATATATGATTTTACGCCATGAAAGGCTGAGAGATAATGGAAGAATGATCTCCCAATTATTTTTATTTAAATGAAAAGGTGTCTTTTAGAGACGGGTTGAAATCCTGTGTAAATTTTAAAACTCAAAGAAGATGATAAAGTGAACCTCGAACTTGACTTCATAAAAAAATATTGCTCTCAAATGTGAAGTTATGATAACAACAAACTGTCCTATTTGTCATACGCCATTACTTACACCTTTATAAAAAATGCAGTTTCAATTTTAATATTATCCATATAAATATAAATATTTATTTATTTCAAATGTCAGGCGTTTTGATAGCTATCATTAGCCATTTAGCTGACTTCGGGCTTCACAGCGGGAAGGTTCATCAAAGCAGCATAAAGTCGAGGGGTGGGGAACAGAAGGACGATTCACAGGTGTAAAAGAGGCAGACAGACACAAAGGTAGAAAAAAAGGTAGGGTGAGTACTGTGAAAGGGGTCGAATATGACAACCAGGGGGGTCGTGGTAGTTTGAAGTCAGAAGTCAAATGCCGGTTAATAGACTTTTTTGCCGTATGTGTATACGTTGCCCAGGGTGCACCACGTGGAGGTTAGTCTATCGCACACCCCCAAATATATATATATATATATATAGTGCTTATTCAATCTAAGCTCTTCCATTAAAGAACCTTATTGAATATAATACTAAGTGATGTTCTAATAAAAGCCTTAGTTTGTATAAATACACTAAGAAAAAATATTGAAAAGTGTTGGACCCTACACATTTAAGAATTGACTAAAATTCAGCCATCTCTTCTTGGAATTCCCTTCGAATAAAATATCACCAAAATTAGCTAAGTAACCTCAAAAATTTCGAGAAAACAGAGTTTACGATGTGAAGAGAGTTTATTTTGTCTGTTTATTACAATTAAAGGAACGTTGACAATGCAGTAACTATTGATTGCTGATCGAGAGGTCACTGTACGCACGACTGCTCTTGTACCCTTCTCGATCAATAGCACGGTGAGAAAGAAGTTTCTTTGTTCAACCTTGATAACGCTTCACTCTCCGCAGAATACATAATTGGCTTAGATTACTGCATCTATTAAGGGGCGAACTTTCATTACAACCTTAATTGACGCGGGAGTGGGGGGGGGGGGTAGAGGGGTGAGAGATTGTAAAATTTCAAATTATATTACTGTAGTGTAAAACAAAAAAAAACATTGTCGCAATTTTTAGTGAAAAAACGATAACTGAATCTTCGCAGAAACAAAGTTGATGCAAAATATTGCAATGTAGAAATAATTGATATTCCAGGCTAACTGAAAAGAAATTGTGTGCGTCACATCTATGCAAAAATCACAACGTAATCAAGCAACCGTAAAACACAAAGGCTCTTCACCTATTGGTTTTCCAGTAAATAATTGACTCTTTAACTCTCCCCATTACTGCATTGTCTGACTCCACTCAGAGCATAGAAGGTGTTGCAAATCTCTCTACGCAAACCATGCCGGATCTGCGGGCCACGTTGGATTACATACAGTCGAAGAGATTCAAGAAGGAAAGTGGTTATGAGACCACTTTGGCTGAAATGCTTGAAGGTGCGAAAAAGGCTAAGGCAGACAAGGTGCTGTATGAGATGAAATCGAAAGACGATTCGATGAAGTTTCGAGCAAAGGGCAAGAAGACATCACCAGTTAATATGCTGGATTATTCAAAGATAAGAAGTCTGACAAAATCATCTCCTACCGAAAAGGCAGTGGCTTTTGCCTGTCCTGGACCCAATGAAAAGAATCCAGTAATGTTGTATGCGATGCGCTTCAAGAAAGAGAATGATTATGAAAGATTCATAAGACGAGTAGAGTTCCCTCCATCTTCAAAATACCGAGATTCCGAGTATATTGCTTCTTCCACAGAGAGGTTAACCCAGTCTTCGAGACCTATGTCTCGAGAATTTGGAGAGCAAACTTCGTCTGCCAAGCTTAGAGGACATCGGACAAGAAGTCGTGCAAGTAAATATACTACTTCAACATCATCATCGTCATCTTCATCGGTATCTACATCGACTGAGAGAGGTCATTCTCTATCCGATTCAAGTAGAAAACGGGGACATAAGAGTGCAAGTACGTACATTTCAACGGATGAATTGCACCCACCTTATGTTAAAAGTCGTCGGAATCCTGTGATTTCTGCAAGAACAAATTATGAGACAAGTTACATTTCTACGAAAGCTAGGATTTACAATTTATACCCATCGTATCGTCCAGCCCATTCTGTTAGACCTCAAAGCGTACGAGTTCGAAATGTCTACCAAGTGACAAGAGACTCCAGCGCTGACGATAGCTCCAGTGCCTCCTGGACTAGTGCGAGTACTTTGCTTAGTGATTTTACTGAGTTGTCATTTAGTTCTCTTGAATATTTAATGGGTTCAAGCGATTTTAGCTCTGATGATGGTATTGATTGGTGAGACCGATCAATACTGTGTCTCCTTCAAATTTTGTTTTCTTTTGACTTATATAACGAGAAAAGTCCGGTAGTGAAACCATCACTTGATATATTTTTTTCCTGCCAATTTGGCTTTCTTTCAAAATGTTCTCAACTTGCTATCTTACTTGTGAAATTCTTAAAATCGGTATGAAAAAAACCAACCTTCTCCGTAGGATTATTTGTTCGAATACATTTAATCCCCGTGTTTCCGCCCAATGGTGGAATATTTTTTATCAAACTGCAGGCTTTATGATGTTTATCATTACCCCTCTAGTTGACTTTGGGCTCACGGAGGGGAGGAACAGACAAAGTCACAAAGAGTCGAGGTGGGGGTGGGGGGGGGGAAGGGGCAGAAGAGGGTGATTCACAGATGTAAAAGAGCCAAACAGGCACCAAGGTAGAGAATAAGGTAAGGTGAGGTGAGTACTGTGGTAGTGGTCGAATATGACATCCAGTGTGGTCATAGCATTTCGAAGTGAGAAGTCAACTGCCGGTTAATAGACTTTTTTGTCGTATGAGTATACGTAGCCCAGGGTACACCGCGTGGAGGTAAGCCTATCGCGTGCCCCATGATGGAATATTGATGAGCTTGTAATACATTTATTAAAAACAAATATATTGATTAGGCTTCATTTCTGGTGAATTTTAATCTCAACGTTTGCATATCATATTACCATTGAATTTGTTGAAAGCTCGAATTAAGAGTGTCTCAATTTAGGTTAATAATCAGCGAAACCGTGTGATCAAAAGCAAGTCATTTTGAGTAATACTGAAATCATGTTTCAAAATTAATTAAATTATATCTTTTAAATTAAAAATTGATTTTTAAAAGTTGTGGGGAACTTTGAGTTTGATAACACATTGTGGGAAAACGTTGCATATGCGCATTATATAGTTTTACTGATTCAATTTACTGAATTGAAAATTGACATGTAATTTTAAAATAAAAGTAAATTTTCCAAAATTGAGCAATCATTAAAATACGATACTTCAATTCAAGTGTTGATAGCAAATCATCAAATTAGCTGTTAATTGGCAGTAAATGAAGATTGAGAAAAATATCAAGAATTAAACTGAAAATTTATTTCCCACATTACCTTTTACTCCCTAAGTAGTGTTCGGAAAATAATTTGAAATAATTACGATCGGTATAATTATACAAGTAGATTTTCACTTTCAATTGAATATTTTAAATGCATATAGACTCCTATTTCAGAAAGACATGTGGTGCACATAAACGGCTTTTTATTTTGTAAATTGAGTTTTATTCCGGTGATCCTCAATAATTTGTTTATTTGCATCAAATGGCAGGCTTTATAATATTTTTAGTGAGTACTTTAGTTGACTTCGGGTTAGGCAGAAGGGATAAACATCAAAGACCCAAAGAGTTGAGAGGGGGGAGGTGAACGGAATTATAATTCACAGATGCAAAAGGGACAGACACAAAGGTAGAGAATAAGGTAAGGTGAGTACTGCGGAAGTGGTGAAATATTGACATATATTCGGTCTTAGTAGTTTTAGGTCAGGAGTCAACTGCCTGTTTACAGACTTTTAGTCGCATGAGTACATGTTGTCCAGGGTGCACCACGTGAAGGTAGGTCTATCGCACACCCCATCCATAATAGAACTTGTCTTATTAATTATGTTGAGCATTTCCATTATGCTGATCAAGTGAGTGTTCCTAGAGTTTTACCTGGAGTTGTGGGGGGGGGGATTTAGGAATATTACTTCTCCTCTCTCCCTCCCTTCGGAGGGATATAGGCTTAGTTGTTTGCAAAAAAAAATTTCCAAAGAGCTGTCATAAAATATTTTGTCAGCGTTCAGGATGCCACTTTTATAGGTAGCAGTTTCTTCCAAAAAAGCTCAAAAAGTACAAAATCTGGCACGCTAACTTGCTGTTTGCAATGCCAAAGGAAAAAATACCGCAGAAAATACAAATGAACTACTTTCTTCCGCACTGTAAGCATAGAAATAGCGTAGGCAGCTTCACACTTCAGCATTTTTTGATCGAAATCCTATGAGGTTGTGAATTAACATTTCGGCGATTTAATTGGTTTTTAGTGGCTACTTCATCAATGACATTCCAGGCATAATCAAATTCCAATCAGAATTCGGAAAGATGCTTTATAACTTCAAAGTTAACAATTTTTTACGCTTTATCTACTCTTTCGACCTTCATAAAACAATAAAGACCCCCTGATAAGTTTGACTAATATATTTAAGGCTTGGTAAATAATTGTATAGTGTTTTGAACATTGTGAGATTACCTGCTGATGCACTTCCGTGAATATTTTAATATAAGGTCTCTATTGTAGTTGACAAGCTAGCTATGAACCTAAATTCAGTGAGAAATGTGTACTTTTGTGAAGAAATTTCTTCCACTGCCACCCAACCCCTCAGCCCTACAGTCGGCTAAGGTAATTAATTTTTACGTTAAATATTCTCAAAAATTGGCATACAATTTTTATCCATTAAATTAAATGTAAAATTCTTGGATTAATTAAAATTTTACTGAGCAGATCATCCTCTCAAGATTGACATCATAATTCTACAATGTCATTTCATCGATCTCGAGACATTCACCACAGTATTTGAACTGAGGCATCTGGCGAACTGTGACTTGAAATCACCAAAATTTCATTGAAGAAAAGTAAAATATCTGCTTCTCTTTAAAATTTACACAAACTTAACCTCGACTTTAATTTCAAGCGAAGAAAGAGGTTTCTGGACTCGAATAATGTCTAAAATATATTTTATAAAACACAAAGACTTTATTTAAATGGCATTAAAAATTATTTATGATTTTGTTTCTTATTCTTGGGTTTGTACTAACTGGGAATTACATGACAGTAAATGTGGAGTTTGTGTCAAAGTTTGAAGTAAATGCTGAATGAAAAAATGGTAGAATTTTGTTGGAAAAATTTTAAGCCTAAAAATAAATTTTATGAATTTATAGAAGGCCAAAACAATTCCAAATCAATACAATATAAAGGAGTTAAATCGCATATTTTTTATTCCTTAAAGACTTCTAGAAAATCACTCTGCTGAGGCATCTGTAAAGTGCTGAAGCTGCTAAAATATATAAAATATAATATTATTCATTTTATTTTTATCATTGGAGAAATTGCAGTTGCTAAACTGATGAATTTTTATTTTCAAGCTATTTTGTTTCTGTCAAATATGTTGAATTAAGAGCAAAATTATATTTATTTCACAGCAATATTAAGATATAAACCATATATTTAAACATGAGTCATTTATAAAATTCAATTAACTTTGTATGTTTCAAGTAGTTTTTGCAGAAATCTGCAATCTTGCAATGATGATAAGATAAACGAATGATAATCAAATTTGGTTTTCTCGATATGACCTTCAAAATTGTCATATTGGAAAAAATTAAACATATGTAAATTAGTCTTCTGTTCGGTAAGTGGAATAGTGAAAGTCATTCATCTTTCTACTATTGCAATATGACTTGGATGTAGCCAATATTTTAGATCAAATGACTAAAGATGCAACTTTGGGATAATAAACCTCCTAAATTTTATTACTAAGTAAAAAATAAATAGTTAGGCGAAAGGAGGTAGCAGTTATGCGTGGTAGACATTTCGCGCCACCTCCTCGAGTGAGCAATAATGGAGTAATTAAACTCAAAAGCTCTTCACCAATTAGCTTTCCCGTAAATATTTGACTCTTCAACTCTCCCCATATCTGCACTGTCTGACTCCACTCAGAGCATAGAAGGTGTTGCAAATCTCTCTGCGCAATCATGTCGGATCTGCGGGCCACGTTGGATTACATACAGTCGAAGAGATTCAAGAAGGAAAGTGGTTATGAGACTACTTTGGCTAAAATGCTTGGTAAGGCAAAGAAGGCTAAAACAGGCAAGAAGTTGTATGAGATGAGATCGAAAGACGATTCGATGAAGTTTCGAGCAAAGGGCAAGAAGACATCACCAGTTAATGTGTTGGATTATTCAAAGATAAGAAGTCTGACAAAATCATCCCCTACGGAAAAGACAGTGGCTTTCGCCTGTCCTGGACCCAATGAAAAGAATCCAATAATGTTGTATGCGATGCGTTTTGAAAAGGAGGACGATTATACCGAGTTCACAAGGCGTGTAGAGTTCCCTCCACCTCCGAAAAACCGAGATTCTGAGTATACAGCTCTTTCCACTGAGAGTCAATCACAACCTTCTGAACCCGAATCTTATCCGCATGGAAAAACGACAACAACTTCATCTTCCTCTAATTCGTCTACACCTACACCTACAAAAAGTAAGTCGCGATCACAATCGAAACAAGCAAAAAAGTCACCTAGTAAGAACTCTTATATTTCTACGGATTGTGTTCTTTCTTCGAATCAGAGAAGAAATTCTAATCCCCTGAATCCTGTTAAACCATCTTATAAGACAACTTACTTTTCATTGAAACCAGGAATTCGTGATTCGCTTTCTTCATATCGAGACAATTCCATAAGTCGAAGTTTTAGTCATTCCTCTTCTATTAGCAATTATACCCCCCAGGGATTTAGAATCCGCTCTTATTCAACCACCTCAAGTGATTTCAGTGATGATTCGTACGATGAAAATACTTATGACAGGAGCGGTCGAAGATATGTAATCTCGCGCTGTCGTAGAGATTCAGTTTCTGGAGTCGTGTGTCGTCCTGTTGGAAAATTTATATTAACTGATGAAGCTGCAAAACTCTTTTGAATTTTTGGATGCTAACACCTTGGTCATTCTCTTACAATGTCTACAACTAATTATTAGATGTTTTCAACTTTGATTGTTCTACTATCCATAGTAAAATTAGACATGTCTTCAATTTCTTCCATCTACTAATCATAAATGCAAGTGGTGGGTTTGATAATTTCATTACAAATTTCAAAGGCTTTTACACCACTTGCACTGATCTATAAATTCAATTTACTAGGTATTTTATCAGTTGATTCATTGAAGTTATGCATAAAGAATGCTGTCTCAATGAGTTAGATACTGAAATAGTGAATCGGGGCCTGCTTTACTTCAATTCAAAGTTGACAGTTCAAATTTTATCCATTCAAATCGTAATTTCACAGTTGTCGATGCACATTAATTAGATTTTTGTTTGCGTGAAGGAAAATGGAGCAACCTTAATGTGCCAGGAAGACACTGCAAATGACCTTTACCCTGTCTTGAATCATGAGCTAAGTTTGAAAAAGAAAAAAACGTTTTGAGATATTTATTTATATCAAATTGGGCGGGCTTTATGATACTTATCATTAGACCTTTAGCTGGCTTCGGGCTTCACAGAGAGTATATCAAAGTGAGAAAAAAGTAGAGAGTGGGAAGAGAAGAGTGATTCAAAGATGCAAGAGTTAGGCAGACACAAGGGCAGAGAAAAGGTAAGATGAGGATAGTGAAAGGGGTCGAATATGACATAGGGTCGGGTCCTTGTAGTTTGAAGTCAGAAGTCAACTGCCAGTTTATAGACATTTTTGTCGTACGAGAATACGTTGCCCAGGGTGCACTACGTTGAGTTAAGTCTATCGCACACCCCACGTTTTGAGATATAGCATCATGTTATTCATTTCATGCGGTTTTATGCATTTTATGGTGGACAGTAGCTATACCAATCACGTATTCAGTTATTTGAGACAGTTTAGTCCAAAGGTCTTACAAAGGAACAGGATGTTTGGAGAACGGAATACTTTATATCTTTAAACACAATAAATGACATTGATAATGTTATGAATTCTACTTAATTAACATTAAAAGCGATTGGCGAGATGAATGCAAATATGTTTTTACTGCCTTTATTATTAGTGTTATTAATAATGTTTATCAAAATGAAAGTGATTGTCAGTACCCGCATCTGTATAATAATCTCAGTTTATCATCAAACAAATTAATCAGAACCAATTGTTGTAATTATTCATGCAAAGTACATTTTGTGCACTAATGAGAGCTATGACTTCATGCGGTCTACTTTACACGCCTACAATAGGGCAGCAGAATTTTCTATTGTGCTAAATAAGAATAATTAATATAATTAATTCATTAATATGTTCATTTACCTTGCCAAAGAGAATGAATGGATGTTAGTTAAGCTTATAATTTCATATCTTTTTCATTTTTCCTGAATCATGTGTATTTAACACTTTCGTTAACTAAAACTGTTTAAATCCTACTTTTCACATGCTAGTGAGGTAAATGAGTGCATCATATTGACGAGTGATGCGTTTTAACCTGTTGATAAATTTCAATTTATACTGAATTTTCCAAAATTTGCTTTACTTAATTGACACACTTCTATTTAAGCCACAAGTGAGGCAGTAACATATTATGCATTTTTAAGTTATTAATTATTATGGTAATCATAAATAGGAGTTATTTGTAATTTAGAAAAACTATGGGTAGTCCATTTTGTAGTAATCTCGCAGAATTCAAGTAATTGAACAAAATATGGAAATAAGAAGGTATTAGGTAATTAGTTTCTTAAAGATCATTGTTTCATCTCTTAATGGAACCTCGTCTCATATGATCCTTAGGTAGTTCCATAGTTCTTAATAGACTTTTTAATCAATCAATGATGCCTAGCGAGCTATTGTGAACCCTTTATCAAACCGTCGGCTTGTGAATCATTAAAAATCGATCAACAGAAAACTTAGTATACCTATGAATAAATGGGAATAAAATAATTAAATCTAATTGAACGACCGCGTCGAAGATTCTTTCGTACTTTCGAGCACGGGTGATTTGGTACTTATTCAATATTTCTTATTTAGAATGTAAAGTACCCCTCCCTGTCGAGAAAAAGCCTCAAAATATTTTTTTTTAAAACATAAGCAAAGAAATCAAGTTTCTTCCTTTTTTTCATTAAAGTGATCATCACAATACTCCGCAGTTTCGGCATAATCCTATCTGCATTTGAGGTCCACCTAAAACGTGACCTTGGAGCAAATGTTATTTTCTTGGCATTTAGGCAAAATTTTATAATATTGATGGGAGCTTGATTTTCATGAAATTGCGATGTTAACATGACCTCTACGCACATTTTCTCACGATCTTCAAACCATCTATTAATCGTTTTTCCCCACGTGGAGAGAGAGAGCCTTTATGCTTTAATAAAACAAAGTGGGTTAGCAAGAAAAAAATGATCCCTTTCCCGTTTTCGATTCATATTTTGCAAAATTTAGAATTTTGTGAAGGGATAAAATAGTATTTATGTACATGTTAAAATTTAAATTTTAAATATTTCAATCTGTATTTATAATGTGTGACAGAAGTTCTTAGGTGAAAGCATCGCGGCAAGTTATTATTTTTTTATAAAATAAAATTCACTGTTGCCTTTCTTAAAGGCAAAAAATATACAGAATATAGACTTCAAAACTGAGCATTTTCACTTCAAATAAACGTTGGCATTTTAAAGAATAAAATAGACTTAAAATTGCGTCTCCACATCACCTACCACACGTTGTATAATTAAGGTGATTCACGTTTCTATTTACTCGATTTGTGCATGCTCCAAAAGGCCAGTCATTGTGATTTTAGAAGTTGAAATTCTAACCAACTTCTCTGTCTTTAACATGCTATTTGAGGTACTTAGTTTTGGTTTATGCCAATGTGTTTAAATTCAGTCCTATTATTACTTGAATTTGGCGTTAATGCAGAAAATTAAAATTTGTAAAAGTGAATATTATCTTGCAAGAATCGAGCTGTATTTATATGACTGCAAATAGTTACGCTTAATAGTACAATGAAAACCAAATAATGTACCTTATAACAATACTTCCTGAAGATATATTGGGTGCTTGATAATAGATTTGAGCCTTATCGAGGTTGTCTGGCAGAAATAGTCATTAATGCCGGTTCGCTGAAAACAAATACTCCAATACACTACTTCTTTGCCAGATACCAGAATGAAGCCTATATCTAGAAATATATTTTTTTGATGAGAATTGATAATGATATTCATGGGTACCGTAGGCTCAGCAAGTAAAGTGTATATTTTTTTACCAGGCTACTGAACAATAATTAAATGTTTATCCTTGCGCCTTATCAGTAAAATTTTAATTATCCGATCTAATGAGGGCACCTAATTTCAATTGCATTAAAAGTTAACTAACAAAAGGTTATCACTTGCGTAAAAGACAAAAAATATTAGGTTGACACTTTTATCAATGGGTGATATAATTGATCCAACTTTTAATATCAAATTAGGCGGAGAGTGGGGGGGGGGAGGGGAGAATGACGATCATTGGGATATTTGAAAAGAAAAGAAGAGAAGTCCCACGCTCATTCCAAAAAGCGGTGTAAAATCTAATAACACAGAATTTTATTTGCTTTTGATAATGGGCTCTAGGAGCGTCGAAAATTTAGAGAATGATAATGTATCTTAAATTCGTTCATATTTCTGCCTATTAGCAAATGTACACCGATTTGCGATGATGTTGGAAGAACTATGAATGTGGTTAAGTGAACGAAGTTTTTATTATGAGGCAATTAAAGATATGCTGGCATATATTAATAAACAACTTGGTAATTCGTTTCTAAATGAGTAAAATTGGGCAAAATGGTTATTTAATAGACGCAATAGTGGTTAAGGACTACTCACCATTTTAATATATGTATAGTTAAGGAGGGTGAGAAAAGTGGTGCAAGGGGAAATTTTGCCCGTAAGTATTATATTATTTATATCAAATGCAAGCGCTTTGATGGTTATCATTGGCCTTTAAGTTGACTTCAGGCTTCGCAGAGGGGAGGAAACATCAACGTGAAAAGTCGAGAGAAGGGGGGGAGGGGGAGAGAAGCGTGTTTCAAAGACAAAGGTAGAAAATAAGGTGAGGTGAGTACCGTGTAAATAGTCGAATATGACATACAGTGGGGTCAGAAGTCAACTGCGAAAAATAGATTTTTTTGCCGTATGAATACACGTTGCCCAGGGTACACCACGTGGAGGTAAGTCTATCCCACACCCCGCCTGTAAGCATAGATATAAGCTTAGCTTCGCCTATTCAGATCCTATGATTGGAAATATTTTGAATTTACGATTTTGGGGTTCATTTGTAGGGGAAAACTGAGCAATTTGTTACTAATTTTTTTAATTGCAAAGGAAACCATTAACTTGTCAAGTTATTTAACTGACAGTTCTTTATCCATGTGACCACTGATGGCAGTCTTGGAGGTGATGGTGAAAGCCTCCACCGTGGGAATCTCGAATTGTGAAACTTCCAATAGTCCAATACCATGGGTAACACATTCTAAATTATTATTTTAAAATTCGATGCGAAACTTCTAATGATATAATTTCTATGATTCGTATATTTTGAAATTAAAATTTTAGCGAGAAAATGGAAATGAAGATTACTGGCATTACCAATCAACTAGATTTCACATCGTATCGTAGTTAAACTGAAAATTCGTGAAAAATAGAAACTGCGTTTTTATGAAAGAACGAGGTAAAACAGGCACTTTTTCTGTTTTGAGAGATCATGGATTATTTTTTGTTATTACCACATGGCTTTGAATTTCTCATTTTACTCTTGGCTACCTTTCAATAGCCCCATCGAATCAATTTTCCCTTACCAATTATCGAAGCTAATTGACAATTTATTTTCATAAGCAATGGGAATACCGCTAATCGATGAAATGTCAAGCAAAACCATCTAGCCTCGAAAGGCAAAGCTTAAATGCTATATTACTAATTTACCTAAAAGTAGCCAAGCTGTCATGTAAGCTAACAATCTGCTAAGTAATCTCTTTATTACCAACGTCTCTCTTGTAAATTAAAAGCAATCTATTTATTCGACCACATTAGCACATCGGAGAATAGGAGATATTCTGGAAGGGGTGGGAGGGGGGGGGTTGATTTAAGTTTGGCTAATTTATCAAATATTCAATTGACTAACTCAATACCGTCGGATAATTAAAGACGAGGCCAGTTTTGCAGACGGCTTTAAATAAAAAAAATTATTCGAAAATTTATTTGTCCTTTTGGCTTAATTAAAAGATGTCAACAACTTATAGAATGATAAAATTTTCTATTATATACTGAAAAAATATATACAACTTTTTTCACTTAAAATGACCATTTAAATTGAGATATCACTGAAGTTTGTTAGCTCATTTAAGTAGAATAATGTAAATAAACGAATTAGAACATCATCAAGCACCTCAGATATGTGGGGGCGCGTCATCGCCAATACGTAATCGCATGCCCGCACAGCCAATCAGTAGCTTCTGTTTGTTTAAGAGACTCCCCCACGTTCATCATGACTCACCTCCAGGTGTGTTCACAATATCACGGCACATATCCTGGATGAACATGTTTTGTGTAATGCGTCTCTTTCCTCCCTAGCTCTCCTGTAGTTTAGCTAGTTCTGGGAGTCTGGCCCGATATAAGAGTTTCTGCCATATAGATTTCTGAATCGGTCAAGGCTTTACTAGCGAAGACGTCCACTACAGATATTATAGCACATTACAGTAATAGTGGTAATAAGTAAAAGAGAGGTTATAATTTTGTAAAATCTTCTTGTAATTCGCCTGTAGCCATCGAGTTGCCATGCAAGATTGTATGATTTAGAGGAAATTGAAAAATTCTGATTGACTTCCAAAATTGATTTGGTAAAATAATGGTAGAGAAAAGTTAAATCTATGAAAAGATTATAAGCTTAATTGCCAACATCTTTATTTGATTTTTAATAAAAGATGCTTATAAATTTTGCTTAGGCAATTAATGAGACAGTTTCTTATTAACAAATTGATACAATTGCCTTTCATAAAATCTCACGTACTTGCGCCACTTAGAAGATTGAAATTTACACTAGACTTGAAATCTTTTTGCGAAATTAAAGAGGGATTTTGTCCCGGTGTTATGCATCCTTCACACAGTCGCTTCGTAATAATTTTGTAGTTAAAATGAAAATATGTGTAATTAGTTTTGAAACTAAAATCTCATACCACGTGATTTACTTACCTGCATTACTCATAATAAGTCACAATAAAAATATCGATTTGTGATATTGATTTTGACTTGATTCTCCTTTCATTAATTTAATAGTTCTGAATATTGTAGAAACACTTTCAAACAAACTTCAAAATATTTGTACACTTGAGTCTCTTTGTGAAATTTATGGAACAGAATGCAACTTAAAACATTTTCATTATGCCGGTGTTAATTCTTCAAATTCATTTGCTGTCTCAAATTAACTTGAAGGGTGGTCCACAATGCACTAATAATTGCGTTATTGAAAATGGATTCCTTTTCGTTTAAACGTTCACATTTCTACACATATTGGAAATGAATGTTCTACTTTGAAATCTTTTCACTCCAGTTCATTAATATAATGCATACTGCTATTTCTGGACTCATGCTGCTCTTTGCTAAACTGAAGTAAAATTCCTCATTGAAAATATTTCAAACGTTGGTTGAAAATTTGGCGTCAAACATATGAGCGCACTGCGTATGATGCCATCGCCAACTGGCAGCGTTACCGACACAGGCAGCCTTCGCCTTTGACGTCAATCAATAAGACGAGTCAACGCGGAGACAAAACTCACGCACGCTAAAGGCTATTCACATTCACCTAAAAGTAATATGGAAACGAAAGCTGAATTCGCTACCGACTTACTATACTTTACACGCAAAAAATGCAAGTCTAACTCATTGGAAAAATCGATAAACGAATGCTTTGAAATAGCAGTTAGAGCAAAACCAAAAGTCACTCCCTTGTTACTCTACGAAGATCGCATCAAAATTAAGGATCAAAAGAAGGATATACAACTGTCTAATGTGAAGAGCGTCAGTGAGTTCAAGGAACCTATGATACTTGTGCTCTGCAGCGATCACAAAAGAGGCAAAAAATGTCTTCTTTCGACGCTGAAGTTCAAAGGAATCAATGGATACGTGAATGTGCTCTGGAAAATCAAAAATATTGTCAGGGCAGAAGAGTCGAGGAGGAAATTCGGAGCTCAAAGTGACGTGACCTCAAGAACAGATTCTAGACAAATGAAACAGAATCAACAGGAGGGTGGTATCGCTATGACCGACCATTTCCCACTTCCAGGGGAAAAATTTTCTATGCCGAGAGAGGATGGCAAATCCCAAAAGCTGAGCAAATCAGCTGCAGACGCTATTCAGGAAAGAACAAGAAGGCCAAACTTCAGATCAGCTCCATTGATTGAACAAAACGCTTTAAATCAACCCGTGTCACCTTCTCAAATAAACGAGGACTCTGATTACTACAGCAGTTTCAACTCCGCGGAGGACTATTGTGGCATTTTCAATGAAAGACAATATGAATCAGACCAGGCTGAGAGAAGAAGGGGAATTGGAAATGAGAAGACTCTTCGAGATAGTCGAGGTAACACTGTCCTTATTTTAAGACCTTGTAGTATTCTATTTCAAGGTAATCGATATTAACTGTAACTGTGTTTTACATTGTTCGCTTTGTTTGTGATAGTACTTGTCTTACGATTTCGATTTTGTATCTCTCTTTTCTACGTATTTCTTTGTTGTTTCAAAGGAAATTAAGGAATTTTAGCCCAAAAAAGATTATCTGTAATATTTAGTTCACTTTTTAAGTTGTATAAAACTAAATGGGCATTAAAATGGATGAATAGAGATTTGGAATCATGCACATTTCCCAACAGAAATGTTTTAAAATGGCCTTTAGCTGGAAATGATCGATACCGTTAACATCTCTAGACAAAGCCGCGAAAAATCTCAAAGAAGATAATCTCCTCTTTTGAGTTTCTTTCAGTTCAATTTCCCTCCATTCCTTACTGTTACCATTCTTTGTCTTCTCTTTTTCTTCCTGCTCACATTTAAGCAATATATTTTTTGTTCAATCTCCCTTTATTTAAATTACTCAAAGAACTCTCGGATTTATTGTCAGAAAAGTAGACCAAGGCGTTCAATGATTTCATTAACTGCAGACTGGAACTTAGAGATCGCTGTTCATTAAGTCTAAAAGGTAAGACTGACGCTTGTTCCTTATGAGAAACATTGACAACATTTGTGTGTTCACATGAGTAGAGACATTTGATGGAGGAAAAACATCTAATTAAATTTCTTGAAACCAAAACCCTGAGAATGTATGCCATATTGTCAGTTAAGTAAATATATAAAAGGCAAGCGAACGTTTAGAATATAACAAAAGTCAAGTGGTTAATTATTAGATTACTATCATAAAAATTCAAAACTCCTTAAATCCCACCCCAATTCTTACAAGCAGCCAATTGGGGAGATTAAACCATAAATATGCATTCATCTAACCTCATCAAACGCTGCATTTCCTACTTAGACAATACCAGTTAAATTTCATTTTTCTAACAATGCTTGAGATTTATCCCGACCCATAATCCAACTTGTAGGAAAACAGTAAACGGAACTCGGGGTCATGGATCCTTACTCTATTTCAGGATGAGCTATTTGAAGTCCGCTGCTGGTACTAGGTGTCTTGTGGTTCTAACGTATATTCAAACCCATTCTACTTAGGACAATTACGTTAAAAATTGTATAAGAAGACAATTTTAGAATTAGGGAAGGTGCTTTCAAATCGCATTTATATCCTAATGAGAATATACCCTATGTAGATTATATTATACTATATTGAAACGAATTCTAGCTGTTAGAGGCCATTACAAGGGTTTGAGAGTTAGGCTAACCGAAGAGGTTGCTATATCCACACAAGCCATATGTTTGTACATCAAAACCGCCCTTTTTGTATTATGAAAGTGAAACACGCCTGATCTCCTAAAACGAAGATAGTTTTGCATGAGACAAATATTTGCGCAAACGCATTATGGTAGCGGTTAAGCTTTACATCAGTCATCGGGAGACAACAAAATGAAAAGGTAAAAAGTTTCAAAACATTTTGATGCCCCTTTTGCTATGTTGAGACTTGCAGCATTTTATCACCTGAGCTGACAAGTTACAAACAAACATCTAAACAATGTTGAAGGCTCTTCAAATATTGTAGGCATGTTCCCCTAAATCCCAAATAGAATTATGATTTAATTATCTTTTATATACGAGAGCATATGAAGAATAACATGCTTGTGAAGTGGCGCCTAATTCCTAAAAATTATAAATCTCTTTATTTTTGAATTACATCTTTCATGCGGCATAACGCGAAGCCCTAAGATGCCACTTCTTAAACAAGATTACAATGATTTCATTGAAAGCGTATTTGTAACTAAAGCAAAATCACTCTTTTTATCTGGAAAAAAATGATTGAGTGCCATCTTGATATGCCCTTTATTCTGTAATATGAATTACTTGAGGAAATTATACCTAGATATTTCCAACTAAAATATAGCGTCAATCCATGGACTGAGTTCACTGGAAAGTTGAAACATGTGAAACCGACGACAGGTATATAAATTTCCAAAACGAGCCCGAAAATTTCATTCCCAGCGTTAGTGGAAAAGGGGTAATGTGGCCAAGCTGCATTGAATTAAGCACAGTTAATTTTAAAATTGGGGAATACGATAGACTTATCTCCACGTTATTCACTCTGGGCAACGTATACTCATACGGCAAAACGGTTTATAAACCGACAGCTGGCTTCAAATCACCATGACCTGACTGTATGGCATAGTACACCACTTTCAGAGTACTCACTTTAACTTTTTCACGGACTTTGTGCCTGTATGTCTCTTTTACATCTGTGAATCACTCTTCTGTTCATTCTTTAGAATTTTGCAACTTTGATGTTCCTCCACTCGGTGAAACTAGAAGTCAACTAAAGGGCCAGTGATAAATATCAAAAAGCCTACTATTTGATATGAATAATTTGAAAATTTGGTAACCTTTGTCAATTCAAAGAGCATTCAATAAAAATTCATCTTCAGATAGTCCGGACAACCTAGTAAAGAAATTTGACAAATTTTCCAAATCGAATTAAACGCCTCCTTTAAAAATTAATACAAGGTTACGAATACCATTTAACGAAACATTCGGGGACTTTTGTTGTCTTCAAACCACCTTTTAAAGTGTATAAAGCGGTGTTTCGCATTTGCAATGCTGCAAACCCGACAATATAAATCAATTATTGATTAAAGACATTGAAGGATAGCTCACTGTTTATTCACCTTTCTATCTTGGTCATCACTAACCGCATAAACCTAATCAACTTGACCTCACCGTGGTACTTAATCCTGTGCTGACCTCAAGTGGCTAATTTCGATTAGCTGGGTAAGCTAATTAAGCAATTCCAGAGCACGTGGTGCGAAACTATTTAATCTGCTTATGTTATTCCGTCTTCATGAGACCAAGTAATGCCCCATGAAAAGACACCCCCCTCAACACATACATATTTTCCGCTTATCTAATCATATTAAGCTCCTCTTCCCCTAGCAGCTCTTTCTCTCACACTTTAACAAACATTAATCGTAATTTTGAAATATGCTCACTCCACTCACAACTCCTGGTGTTCGGCTCTTGTTAGGACAGTGTGACTGTGTTCTGATTGGCATTATTTACTGATAACTGATTGACGTCATCAAGGCGCTTTGAATCAAAACGTACCCCCTACGCTGTGAATTACTCAAGCATAGTCGTGTTGGAAATAGATTTTGAACTTCAGGAAGGAAGTCAAAACAGTAGTTTTTGCAGTGTGACAGTAAATATGAGGCTGTGAACCTTGTTAAAGCCAACAATCAACTGTAATATCTTATTCTCAATGTCTTTTTCCAAGACAATTTAACTTAGTTATATATTTTTAAATTATCAGCTATTACTATTGCTATAAGAGTAGCAATTAATGAAAGCTTGGCTTAAGTTCCACTTCAACGGAAATTTCATATAGTTAGTTGTAAATTGGAAGAAAATCGTAACCAATGCCAGGACGGTGATAGCTACTTTTGTGAAAAGCAGCTTCTTTTAATATAATTTCGGAGTAAGACGGAAATGACCGGCTAATGGAGTAACGGGGAAGTGATAGTCGCTTCGACTCAGGTTTGCACAATATTTTGGTGGGTTTTTAGTATGCATATTTGGTATAACGAAATCACGTGATAACCTGTGCTGTTACAGGCAGAGCCAAATAAATGATATGATGTTTATTGGAGTACTTGGGGGTGGGGTGGGACATTGTTTTAGCAAGAAGCAAGAGCCCACTAGGAACAATGTGTGCTGCTTTGGTTAAATCATACTCCTTAATATGTACTAATTACTGTCGCGAAATTTTCTAGAAGTTAAATATGCTAATCAAAGTAAATGTTTCCCCTGAATGATTTATTGCTCAATAGAATAATTCCAGCAGATTTAAACGTAAAAATAAATTAAAATGACAATAAAATTATCTGTTTCATGCTATTACAATTTGCCTAGAGTAGTCTGCTCTTTATAATACATAAACTAATGAAAATCGATAATAACTGCACACTCAAAGGAATATTACCCTTATTTATACAGACAGAATTAAGCACATTAGTTGGAATGGTGCATTTAAACCCTATATTAATGGAACGTTTGTGTTTTATGCTCCAAAACTATGTAGGTCTTACCTAAAATGCATTCCATTAAGCAATTTTTCAAAATAAGTCATTCCTGAGGGTGGTATTTCCAATCTGACGGTCATAATTCATCGAAAATTTGCAAGATGTGACTCATCCATTGGTAAATAGATTAATGGCAATTAAGTTAGCAATCCCACTTGCTAACTCAGTGAAGCAGTAAAATTAAAGTAATATTATTGTTACAAGAGTTGAAGTACCTTAAACAGAGTTTTCAAGACTCTTGAATGGAAATTAGGCATCAATTGCTCATTCCACAACAGGTTACAGCTGGTTTTCATCGTATATTACTTGATATGTGATATTGTGATTTCAATTTTCACATTGTCTTCAGATTTAATTGCATGGTTAAGTGCCAGGAATAGGTTGGGGATAAATTTCGTTCTACACCCACGGATTATTCCACACGAAAGTCAACAAAATCATAATTGCAAATATTTACTCTTTAAATTATTTTGGTAAGAGCATACGTGGTTTATGTTGTAGGAGTCAACAAATCCCAGGTATTCCAAAGAGCAGTTAAGTAAAGAGAGGCGTTATGGAAGTTTCTATTATCGCATAGAACTATTCGATAATTTTAATGGACAATTTAGTTATTAAAAGTCATTTCTGTTTTACAAAATTAAATATTCAAATTTTATAAAACAAAAAAAACAAGAAATATGGTTCAATTATGCATGAAATTAGCTCATTTTCTAAAGTGAGCCAAATTTTAGGGCTACCGTCAAGTCGAATGGTAGTGAAAGCACCTTCCACTGCAACAAGTATCGGGCGTATCTATCATTTACCATCTCTTGAGATTTTTCAATGCTGGAAGGACAAGTTATTTTATTAGTTAACAGACAGTGGGCAACTCTAAATACTTTTCTTAAAGGTCGTTTCTGCTAATATTAAAGTCCA